GCCCCAATCACAATGTCACGTCTCTACACTATTTTATTTTTAATTTTTTTCTATAAACTATTTTGACACCAAATTTGGACGTTCAGTCCTCTATTAAACTCGCACAAACAAAAACTATAAAAAATTATTTTCAATAAAATAAAATGACCAAAACCCTTGAAAGTTTTAAGGGGTATTTTGATCATTATATTTTATTGAAAATTTATTTTTAATATTTTTTATAGGTGCGTCCTAATGAGAAGATGACACGTACCAAATTTCATATTCATACAATTTGTATAAAAAAACTAAAAATAAAATACTTTGATACGTTCGATCTAAGATCAAACGGTGACTGGCTCTTTTGATAAAAAATGGACGGTTGGATGGTAGGGGGAGATAGAACTTCTATACTGTAGGGAAAACGTATAAACATTTCCCTTAAATTTTAAGGTAAAAACTAATACCCCACTCCACATTGGTAATCCCTAATAAACCCTTGCTTTCCATTGAAAGCCCATGGGACCCCTCCTATTGCTGAGAACTGGACTTAAAACCCCAACACTCTCCCTTCCTTTTCTCTTTACTTTTAGGCTAGTCTAATTCACATTGCAACCCTTTTTCTTTAAACAAAATCTGATGGGACCTAAGCCCTGAAAAATATATTTATGGAGCATTTTGGAAAACGTTTTTCTCCCACAACTTCCATGTGATTTTTTGGGATACAACGCGGAATAATAAATCCAAAACCAATAAAAGCATGTTTTCCCTCTTCTTCAATCTTGGGAATAAATACCCCGACTGAATTATCTCTTTGGCTTGGATGGAAGGGGTTTATGGTTTGTTTGTTGTGTTCCCATATCCATGCATGCCTCCCCTTTGAAAGGTGCGCATTCCCTCTCTCACTTTCTATTTTCTGCTAAACATATTTGTTCGCAAGCTACGAATATATTCTACCCATTTTTTTATTGAATTTTCTACAAATAGACCATTTATTGTTTGTACATGAAGATCATATTTCATTCCCACTCATTATATAACATATTGGATGGCTTGGGGTATATTATAAAGTCCTAATTTTTTTTTTTGGAACTTTGTGTCTATTCAACAACACTATTAGAACCACCGATTTTGAAATTTAAGGGACAGAACGATTGTAACCTCCATGTATAAAGAACAAATGATCTATTTGTAGACAATCTCTTTTTTTATAGGTTGTTGCTTTCTTTCCCAACTAATGCAAATAGCCTCCTTCATTTTATTGTGGCCTTTCTCTGTGGAGAATAAATTAGAAAGAGAAAATGGGTTTTAGAAAGAGATAAAAAAGTTTGAGAAAATAGGTTTTTTTTTAGAAAGAGGGAATGGGTTCTTAGAGAGAGATATAAAGGGGAAACATTGTGGTGAGCTTAGTGCGATACTTAATGGTTTGAAGATTTTTATTGATAGGAATTATGGTAATAATTGTTGGATTGAAGGTGATTCTCTAAATGCAAGTAGGTGGTATAATAAGGAATAATGCGTCCTATGGGAACTTCGGACTTTATGGTTGCAGATTATAGATTTGATATCCTCCATGTTGATCTATTTCTCTCATGTTTATCATGAAGCGAATTATGTGGTTGATGCTTTGACAAAGGCTGGTGTTTTTTTACCTTTTCTTGTCATCTCTAATGATGTAATTTCTTTTCTATAGTATTAAATAAAAGTAGTAATATTTGTAAAAAAAAAAAACCAATAGAAAGTGAGTTGATCTTCGAAGAGAGGGGGGATGGATTTTTAAAGAGAGGGGGGCGGGGGTTAGGGGAATGAGGTGGGTGTCTGACATGTGTCCTCCACCCCTCTTCCCAATACATTTCATTTCCTAATATTATTTTTTGTTTTAAAATTTTTCAAAAAAATAGTTTCGTATAATTTTTTATAGAATTTTTTTTTCCTACAAACAAAAACGTTTGAATAGAGATTAAAAAAGGAAAAAAAAAAAGGCTTCTAATTGGGCCAATCCGAGCGTTAATAAAGTAGTTTTCCAACTGGCTAGACCAAAACAATCAGAATATCAGATCGGACCTCATACGGTACGGGCCGCTTTTTCGGGCTTTAACCGGACCTAGGCCGGCCTGGTAGCAGCCCTACTTACAATAGATTATGGAGGACTCTCTCTTTATAAAAATTGGCTTTTCGATGTTTGATGGGTCTCTCTCTTCCCCCCTCTCCTGGGTTGTCGGGATTTGAAAGGGACTACTCATTATCTTTCTTTTGTCTCTCTCTCATACTCCATTGTCGAGGCCATGAGATTAAACACACTTAAAAGGTAGTGGTGTTTTTAGTCATGAGATTAAACACACTTAAAAGGTAGTGGTATTTTTAGTTTCCTGCTGAAAAACGTAAAAGCTAGGATCAAGAAAATTGCAATTCATTGGAAAATCATTACATCAATCATCTTGGCTTTAGCATCGTGTTGTGGAAAAAAATTAGGATTTCAAGCACTAAAAAAAGTGTATATTGTAATAAATTATCTAGATCGTCTATTTTATCCTAAAAATAAGTGTTTATAGATCCACAACATGTTTATATTTTTTGAGTTTTAAATTTCATTGTCGATGTTGGAAATTGATTTTAGAGCCACGATGGATATTTTCATTGATGAAAGTGCTTCTTGGATGGGGATTTAAGGTGGGGCTTTATTTTGTTTTCATAAAGCCTAGGCCTTATAGAAACCTTATCCTTCTTTTAGAACTTGAATTCTCTTTTTTTTTTTTTTTTTTCATAGTCTCGAGGTAGAGATTAATTGGGAGGGTTTTCAACTATCATAATTGCCTTTTTTGATGGTTTTTGAGAAGTACCTTGCATTTTCACTGCAAAGTTGATGCCTTATGGCCTATTTGGGTGTACTAGTTAATGATAATTCATCATTTCAGTAAAATTTAGAAAAATTATCAGAAATATTCTTTAATTTTCACATAATCAGAAAAAAAAAAAAAAAAAATACTTTCATAAACCTCATCCATACTATTTTTCTCATTTTTTGCCCTTTTTTGTTTTTTTTTACCAAAATAACCTTCATGGTAGTTGTAGTACTGTGAAGGCCCTATGTATCATGGTACTTAAAGTACCGTGATAACTATCACAGGTTATAGATTGAAACATAATGTCTTGAAGCATCTCGATATTTTAGTAGAGATTAATACAACAACGGCATTTTAAGTGCCGTAAAATATGAGAGAGTCATCATGGTACTTAAAGTACAGTGATGCCTCAAGACATTAAGTTTCAATCTATAACCTGTGGTAGTCATTATGACACTTTAACTAACGTGATGCATAGGGCTTTCACGGTAATACGACTACTGTGAAAGCTATTTTGGTAAAAAAAAAAAAGAAAAAAAGAGAAAGGCCAGATATGAGAAAAAATGATATGGACAAGGTTTACGAAAGTATGCTTTTTTTTTTCTTCTAATTAGGTGAAAAATTATAGTATATTTATGATAATTTCCCTAAAATTTATCTTCATAATGGATAATTTGTTATTTGGAAAAGTTCATCATAAAGTTTATCTGATACCTAAACTTATATGCAATTTCACAAATAAGTTTATCGTTTTGAAAAGCGAATTTACTTTATTCATAGTATGGATCTTACATGTTTTTGCCAGAAATGTATAAAAATAGTTGGAACTTGTCGAAAGAGTTAGATAATTAAATAATTTCATACATAGTTCAAGATAAGTACCGAACAACTTACTAGATGATATTGTCTAGAGTATGTCAATGTTATATAAGATAGTATATTCTAAATCAATTAATTATCATCCAAAAATATATTTATACGGACTCTTTCCAATTTAAAGTCCAAAATTAATTCGTAACATGGATTTTTGGGCCTGTTTAATTGCTGGAAGGTAAAGAAATTAGTCTTTTGTGGAAACTAGAATGTTATCTTTCTAGAATTAAATCTTATAGGGAAGAGTTTATATAGCCGAGGCTCTAAACAATCAAATTAGAGCCTACCACAAAAATTTCATTAGAAGATGTTGTTTTGATGCCTAAATATTCTCAAATTGATCATCTTGACATCAAGATGTATGGACATCAGAAAAAAAAAATAGATTTCAAGTTTTGAAAATAGTGTATTTTGTAATGCATTTTTGGACCGTCAATTTTCAAGATTTTCATAAATATGTTGATCTACACTATTTTTGAAACTTTAAACTTTATAAATAAAATAAAAATATATTTTAAGGTTATCACAAAGATTTTTATTATTGAAACCTACATTTCTCAACATTATTTGAAGATAGGCTCTAATTTGGTTGTTTAAAGCGTACAAACCGCACCCCATCTTGTAACCTACAGGAATATTAACAAAATTGTGGGTACCCATGTTGGATAATATGTGTCTAGAATGTAAGAAAGTTCTCAGAACTGTAATCGATTGACCCTACAATGTTTGAAATGTTGAGAAATAGGAAGCAGCCCGCACTAGGGTAGGATGCGTAACCCCTTCATATGATTACGTGGAAAATCGGTTGATAGGGCTGCAGCCCTATCAAAGTAAGTAAAACCTCACCTCTTAACTTATTGAAAATTACATTTCAAATACAGAAAAACATTTAAAATTGATTATCTAGACTTCAACATTTTTAAAAAAAAGTAAGGATTTTAAGCTTTAAAAAATAATAGAGTATATTATACCAAATTATCTAAAACATCCCTTTCGCTCTAAAAATAAACTTTTAAAGATTTGCAAGATCTGTACATTTTTTTTAGACTCAAATTTATTGTTGGTATTGAAAATTGATTCTAGAGCTATTAAGGAGTTTTTTTTTTGTTGTTGAAAGTGCTTTTTCGGCCGGGATTTGAGGTGGGGCTTTATTTTGTTTTTATAAAACCTAAGCCTTATAAAAACTTAATCCAAACTTTATAAGCCCCATAATCCTGTCATTTCATAAAAGCCCAGGCCCTCTTTGGTCAATCATCCATCCTTTATAAGTAAGTACCTCTCCTCATCGACGACGGCCCTTTTTGTCTGTAGGGAGAGGAGAGTGAGGGGGAACACGCGCAGTCAGAGGAGGCCGTTCGCTCTTCGCGTTAGCGAGAGAGGAGGCCGCCTGTCGTTCACGCGCGCGCGAGAGAGAGAGGAGAGAGGAGAGAGGAGAGAGAAAGAAAGGGGGGAGACGTTGGGGGTAGAGAGAGAGAGAGGAAGTTCAGTGTTCACATTTCACATGATTATTCCTTCTTGTCGATCCAGTCATGTTTCCTTACAATTACCACAACAACATTAGCAATGCCACTCAGGCATGTATTTTTATACATAAAACCCATTTTCCTTTCTAATTGTTGGCAGACTTTTGCAGGTTTTGTTTCTCCATTTTGAGCACATTAACTTGCCATTACTGTGTAGCTATTCTCTTCTTGTTACAGTGTCTGGTTGTAGTGTATTGCATGTTTTCATCTCTTCTGGTAGAGTTGATTGTGTTTTGCCTTTGTATGGTTTTATTCTGTGTCTCGCTTTCTCTGTCATTTTTTTTATTGGTTTTTTTCTATGTGTTTTTGTGCTTAACCTCAAATGTGGATGTAGCGGCACAAAGTCCTAGCTAATTTAGCCAAAAAAAAAAAAATGACTAACAGAGCGATCAGATTTGGCTGAGTGGTTTCTCTCATTTACATTATTTCTGTTTCTTCACCGATGTTTTGTTCTTTAGAGAGAGAGAGTCCTTTGCAGGTCCTCTTGGATAATAGATGCATGCATCATAAGCAAACCTACATTTTTTATAGTTGAAGGAACTTAGAGTTGCTTCCATCTGAAGAGTGGCTAGAGACTACATTGGAGGTTTTCAGAGCTGGCATACACTTATTATCTGCACAGCTATGAATAAACTTAGCAAAATAGTTTGTTCAATGTGTCACAATTGCAATACAATGGACTTTGTTATACCCATGGCCAAGACTTGTCCTCAATTTTAACGATTGTTATAGAATGTCATTGTTTGAAAATGGACGTTTTCTAGTTTTTGGATTTCATTTTCTCAAGCTTCTTTATTGAAAGAAATTTTCATGGGTTATTTATAGGTTTGCAGTCTTCAAAGAATGGTTTCGAAAGATGTCTATCAGTCTATCAATCCATGTGTTTTAATTAGTAAACAAAAACACATGAATTGATTGGATACCTTTTTTAAAAAATTGGACTCCATCTCTCTCTCACAACTAGTGGAGAGATGAGTGAATTTTCAGTGACAATAGGTCTACATCAGGGGTCACAATTGAGTCCATATCACTTTGTTATGGACGACTTTACGAGGCACCTCCAAGATGAGGTACTATCGTGCATGTTGTTTGCAGATGGCATAGTTTTGATTGATGGGACCTGGAACGGTGTCAACACAAAGTCAAAACTTTGGAGGGATGCTTGAAATTCTAAAGGTTTTAAAATTAGCTGGACTAAAAGAGAGTATATGGAATGCAAGTTTAGTAATAATAGGACTAGAGATGAGGAAGTAGTTAAGATCGACGGCCAGGATATATTAAAAAGAGCTCACTTTCAATATCTTGGCTCAATAATCCTAGAAAATGGGGAGATAAGGGAAGATGTTGCATATAGAAATAGAGTTGGGTGGGCAAACTAGAGATGTACAACCGGAATTTTATGTGATTGCCGCATACCAATGGAGTTGAAAGGCAAGTTTATAGGACAATTTTGAGACCAGCTTTGCTTTATGGGGCGGAATGTTGGACGGTCAAAAAACAATATACCTATAGAATAAGTATAGCGGAGATGAGGATGTTGAGAATGATGAGTAGAAAGACAAGAAGGGATAGAATTCGAAATGAATACATTTGGGAAATTTAGGTGTGGCACCAATAGGCGATAGGATGGGAGAGAGTAGACTTGGTGGGTTGGCCATGTATGGCGCATACCCAGTACAACACCTGTTAGGTGGTGCAAGTTAGTTCAAGTGGAAGGCTCAAAAAGAGCAAGGGGTAGGCCCAAAAGGACATGGTTGGAAGTAGTGAGAAAAGATATGGGGACTTGTGGCCTCACTAAGGGTATGACCTTTAATAGAGCAGAATGGCATACTCGGATTTGTGTAGCCGACCCCAATTAGTTAGAAAAAGGCTTTGACGATGATGATGATCTATCAAGTATCAACACTTGCATGTATCTTGGCCATTGGATGAATTTCAATAGAATGATAAACCTCGTACGTTTAACTTTTATTTATTCATATCCCACAATGATTTGACCAAAGACATTAATGAAAGACAATAACAGGGGAAAAGCTGAAATTAGTTTTTTGTGCAGCTTATTAGGATGTCACAGTCCCTAGCGAGAAGATTGTAGAATATAGACAAAAGGACTTTAGATTTCTTTGATGACAGAAAGGTTACATGTTCATTTGGTTTCCATAGAGAGTGGTTTTGGAACTTAACCTAAAAGCCTGTGCCTTAAGTTAGCTTATCCAAACAAGTCCAACTCTTAGGAATGAGTAAGGGAATTTGATGGGGCTGATGGTTTTGCTCAAGGGGTTTGTAAATCGTTCTTTGTGCTATTATAGGTTAACCTACTTGATCACTTAGGGTGACTCTTTTCATGTTATAAGATTGATCCATATGGAATGCCATTGTGTTTCTTTGGAAGATTTGAAGACTATAGGTTCTTTTGATGATATCGTCTTCTCGAATGTTTCTGGAAGACTGAATCAAGTGGCTAAAAAGATTTAAATCTCAATATTCATTGCAACTAGTATTGGGGTGTTTTCGCTTGAGCCGTATGAGACGAAATTTTCATATAGGGTTCTTGGAGGGGGAGTATCATTTTTTTGTACATAGTTCTAAGATGAGTATTCCATTGTTATTTCCCCATCCCAAATTTAGATTAGAATATAAACTCATATTTGATGAATATTATTTGCTCAGGGTGTTTAATTTTATTAAGATTGCTATGTGGTTTATTAGAACTTCGATTGATTTTTCACATGGAGCAAAGACAAAGAGCTCATTGAGTAAATATAAATATTAGGACTTCAAACATATGTGGTCTTCCATGTGTATGGTTATTGATTCTACTCTCCTTTAAAATGTAAATGGATGGGCATAAAATATTTGTAAGCATTGATAAAAGGCCGGTTTCTTCATAAAGCTATGTATAATGGCTTAGATGAGTTACGGCTCTATGAACATGGGCTTTTCCTTGTTTCTTCTACTACTTTTTATAAGGTTTAAGGATCCAAATAATGTGTAGTACTGTTAGTCACATATGTCCAAAAGACATATACTTCATTTTTTCTCTTGATAACAGATTTTTATTATGCAGTTCCCAAATCCGAAGTCATTATTTACCTCAGAAATAGGGGTATCAGGATCTTCAGCCAGAGGGGAATTAAATTTAACACCGTTGGGTGCATTACATGATGCAGAAAACATGTTAGCCCATTCTAAGGTGAGGCACTCTGATTATTCTTAAAACTTCTCTTTGTTTTAAGACAACTTTTCTAATCATAACCACTACTCTTGAGGATTAATTTATTAGATTGCTATATAAGCAGATATATTTGATCTCTTCCTGGATAACATGGATTATTTACCATCCTTGGTTAGTTTTCGAACTTGAAGATTTTATGATGATGCTTGTTATGACAATGTTATTACTGATACAAGTGGGAGGCAATTGGGCACAGTTTGCAATGTCCGTTTCCCATCTCATCTCACAAATCCGACATGTTGAATATCTGCTATCATGGTGATGAGCTTTAATTCCATTATAATCTATATTTTTTACATTCTTTATCTTTTCTATGGATTCTCTTGCAAAGTTAAAAATCTGTTTTGTGTTCCTTCTATTGAAAATAGTTCTTGTTTTATAAGTGAGAGGTTTCATGTATGGTACGATTATTGTTTATCCACTTAGCTACTTAAAAAATTCTCATGGGTGCAGAAGCTTGAGGAAAATTTACAAAAGCTGGGACTGAAAATTAAACATTATGAAGACAACTGTGCATTTCTCAACGACCAAATGGACAAGTTAGATCAGTTGATTTTTCAGTTGCAAGGTTTGCCCTGCATTTCTTGCTTGAGCACAACCACATGTTGTTTTGTTTTGCTTAGATTAACTGTGTTGCTGGATTACATGAGACAATATTCAAGGTCGTCGAAAGCATAAGTAGACTAGTTGTCATGCTTTCTAAAATTAGTGAGATTAAATGGTGGTATCACGATACCCAAACTGAAGTTTCAAATTTCTTGAAAATCCATTCTTAGTGGATGCTTTTTAATTTCAATAATGAGAAGGGTCAAATGTGGAGATCTAGCCAGATAAGACTGATTCTCCTTGCATTTTATGGTCTTTACTTTGGTCTTTTATTATATTAAAACATGGAATTTGTATTTTAACACTCAAAATTGAATTCTTACTGATATCTATTCTATGTCTAATTTTTGCCATGCCACAGCAGAAACAAATATCAAAGTTCACTGAAAATTTAATCCATGATTTTCTGCATAAGTTCCCTATGTGGATAGAAGATTAAAATATCAATTTATGGCTACTGTTTCCTCTTCATACTAATGAATCCATTCATGCAGGCAGTCTTGGGAAGTTGCATACTTCTGTTACATCCCAGGTCGACAATCATACATATGATAGCAAACAGTCTGAGCAGAACACAGTTGAACAGATACTAAGGCAAGAAAAGACAGCAGCTGGCGTATTGTGCAAGTTGAAAAGCTTGCATGCATCTCCAAACCTCATGACTTCAGATGTGCTTGGTATAGTTGCAACACTTGGCAAAGTACATGATGATAACTTGAGCAGGTTAGTTTACTTTATTTTGTTGTTTCAAAGTTGCCTATTGTGCTAGTGGGTTTTCCTTGTCCTTTATTTCTCAGGAAAATATATTGTAATCTAGTGGACTAGAACTGTAGCTAACTTGGTTATCAACGACATTATCATTATCAAAAACTTGGTTATCACCGTTTAGTCATCTGAATCAAGTGATGTGGTTATGAAGTGAGAGTGGGTTGGGTTGCACCATTTGTTTGGTCTGTTCTGATGGTTCCATATTCTCCTATTATTGACCATCCTTTGATTGAATGGTAATGAATGCAATGGACTGTAGTTTTATTGTTTACTCTCTGTCATTTCTTTATTCTTCTTTTATATGGCAAATAACCATCTCCATGCAATTTTATATAGGCTTTTGGCAGAGTACCTTGGAAAGGAAACAATGCTGGGAATAGTATGCAAGACTTACGATGGTGTTAAGGCACTTGAAAAGTATGACAGTGATGGCAAAATTGATCGAACACTTGGAATTCATGGACTTGGGTGTTCTATTGCGAGGCCCATTAATGGCAGGTTCCTTGCCATTTGTCTTGATCAACTAAGGTAAGAATATTGAGTTGCTTTCTGCTATTTGTTTAATGAAATTAGTTTAAGACAAAATGAATGTGTCACCTTGCTTTTAGTATTGTTTACTCACTTCCACAAGACTTGAATGATTTTTTTAGAAGAGTTGTTTGTGAGATATTCACCGAAAACTAGTTTCAAAAAGAAAGTTCCCGTTTCGTTTTCTACCAATCCTATAACCATACATGTAGGATTTCAGCGACTCTATTTTATGTATAGCTTTGGCTTATAGTTGACAACTACTGATGACCTTGCTTTTAAAGTGGACAAATGCTTTCCACACACAGCTCAACTGGGAGGCACTTGTGTTGTTTCAATCCTGAGGTTGGAGTATGAGCCCAGCTGAGTGATTGAAAAAGCAGAAGGAAGCCAATTTTATGTTCTACCAAATTTATAGTTTTATATCCACACCATATGTAAAATTTATCTGCAAAATCGTTTGCTAAGTTTTGTTTAGAAAAAAAAAATCCCTCACTAATTTGAGGAAAATGTGGCAGTGTGTGCCGTAGCATACTGAAGAGAAGTGGTTTGACACACATACACACACTTACACACCCCTATTCTCAAAGCTGTCTTTTGAAATTAATTCAGAAATGGCTTACATTCTAGGGAAATCAGTCTAGTGGAGCCATGGATGAGTTGCGTCGGTGGACACATGTATCCTCCCTACGAAAATCCATCTTGCAAATGGATTCACAATCCAAAAGTCAACATATCTATCATCTAAACCTCCTCACTCATGAATCTAAAAAAGAAAAAAAAAGAGTTGAGCATTCAAAATGTTCGATCTTGTACACGTTTTTTTGGACCGTCCATTCATAAAATCTGCATTATTTTTGGGCTCCAATTTCGTGGCTCTCAGGTCGAAATAAATTTGCAAAGCTTTGGGATGTGTTTTCAAAATTTCAGAAATGTTGGAAAGCTCGGACTTGCTCCAGAACTTGCTAGGGGCCCAGAGTGAGTCAGCATTACGAGTCCCTAATGGACTTTCTAAGTCCAATATGAGCTGGGTGGTTGCCTATAAAATCCATTAAATAATAGGAAAAATCAAATTCCAACAAAATTAGGAAAGAATAACAAACTTCATAAAAAATCTATATACAAAATGAAAGATGACAAAAATTTGATTATATTGGGATATAACTTCGGATCTAGTTGATCTAAGCTCATGAAAATTTCGGCTAAATACTTTTATTTTTATTTTTGATGTTCAATATCTCGAAAAATCAGGATTTCGAGTAGTTTTTTGTGGAAAACAAGATGCGTAGAACTCAAAAATAGGCTGAGGTAACAAGTCTCAACCATGTTAAAATCTCTCAAGAAGGTGGTCCCTCCAGCTCTGGAACTTGATCCTGCATTCTTTAACAGGGCATCTTGATTCCAGACATTTTTTGAATTTAGGGATCTTGATTTGCAAAATTGGGGATCTAGATCCAAAACAATTAATGGGATCTGCACCCCTCTCATCCAAATCATGAGTACATATGAGTAAGTATAGTCGAGCCTCCACCAATTTGGAATCAGGTTTCTCTCACATTCTACCAAAGATCACCAGCACACATCGAATCGCATGCATCTCTTCCCCCACCCATCCTATCTCTAACTTCCTAGCCCATAATCTATCTCTCTTTCTCTCTTTCTCTCTCTCTCTCTCTCTCTCTCTCTCTCTC